GACAGAGACTCTGACAGCCTCTGAGCAGAACTCCGGGAACTGGAGGACATGGGTGTGTCAGAGGAGATTACTAGTTTCATTGTATCTGCTTCGTATGAATAGTTCAGTGGTCTGAACTGTCAGGTCCTGGGGAATAGAAGTAAAAAGAGGCGTGACATCAAACGATACCCTGACCTCACTTAGCAGGATACTTACTCCTTTAATTTTCTTTATTAATTTTGTTAAGAAACGGACCGTGGTGTCTGAATCAGCGGTTAGAATTTTGAGACGCCGAAACAGGTACTTTACCAATCCGTATGTTTGAGTGCCTTGGTGCGATACGATGACCCCGAGAAGAGCGTCCTCCTTGTTCACCTTGGGGAGACCATATAACCGTGCTATAGACATTGGTTTTAGTAAGCAAAGTGTCTGGTAAGGTGATGTCTGGAGCTGCAAGCTGAACTCACCAGTCTCTGACGACTATAATCTGGAACTGGGATTTTAAAATTAGGCCTATCGGAGTGACCTTCAATTCTTTGTCATTAATGCCAGCTGAACTCTAGGGGGTGCTTTTACTCCTATTTCTATTGTTTCGCTTACCCCAAAGATTTGCAAATCCTGCAAAATTCTTGCCTAACTGACTAAACCGACCTGCTTAATTGATCTAGAATATATTTTTTCCAGGGGGTGTGGTAAAGGGGGCTGTAAAGCCCACAAATTTCCGTGTTTAGCCCATGTTCAAGTCTGCTTTTGTTCTGTCAGCATCCTTCATTACGGGAGTGCCGGACACATGTTTCCAAAGTGTCTTAGGCCGGTTTCATCCACAAGTGGTTGCTAGGAGCAAGAAACACAATTCCGCTTGTCATATGAGTCAACTCGTATTTTTTTCTTTTTTGACTCTACAGTGAGAAACCGCTGTCTATCTACGTCTTCAGTTCACAAAAGGCTGTTTTTAACGAATGGCGAGAGAAGACCTCCTCAGGCGGGATAATGCACAACGACTGTATCTTGCTGGCCGGAAGTGAGTGACTGTTTGAATATTCGAACCTGCAGGTTTTACTTGTGCTACCCTTCAAAAGAAGTTGTTATATTCTATAGGAATGAGCGTTAAAAGTTCTGTGTTTAAATACTGACCAGATATTTTGACTCTTTCCGCCTGAATTGCTTTATTCACCTACCCTTTTTTCAGCTAGTTTAGACTGCCTATCTGTAAATCTGAGAATGAAAATCCTAACTAGCGTTTCCAGAACACAGCTGAGGCGCCCGCCTTAGCTACTGGTAGTAGAAAAATAAACGAGCCTTTTCCGAGTGGATGCCGTTTGTCCCCTAAAAACCATTGCGTTAAAACGAGAAACAACTCAACTGATAACCTGCGTCTCTGGAGCCCACGCACACATGATTGATGCCAAGAATTAATCGACCTACACAGCCGTTTTTCGCGAAACACGGCTGTCAAAAGTTCTCTTTGAGTTGCTTTCGCTAGAAGAACAGAGTTGTTTTATGCCAAATGAAGGCCCGTTCTGCAGTCCAGTGTCTTAACCTGCGCCTCCTAGGAGCTTTCGTCTACATGACAAGACTTGAAAAGCAGACCAATGGTAAAAAAAACAAGTGGAAGAGGTATTTCATAGACGAAATGCCACACATATTTTCTGCCGAATTCTCAGTGATATTACGATATCAGTGAAAAGTAGAGGCTTGTTATGTCCTTCTACGTCGCACGTTGGAACACAAAGTTTGTGGCGAACAGCCCACATTGCTGGCTGGCGTCCTTGCTCGATGCCTACTGCCTCAAGGTCATTGACGTTCGTAGTGAGCTCTTTCAGCCTCGCTGATCTGCAGATCTTTGGCAGGCTTCAACTCGCACACGCACGTGCATACAAATAATCTTGGCTGCCTAGGGACCACTGGAACACGCCACCCCTTGGTGGGCGCAGCATGGAACACCCCCTCGGGTAATGCAACATACCAATTGGACAATGCTTGAGTTGGCTTCACCATCATAAAAGCGGCTGCCACCGCTGTTTAACTCTTTGATCGGGATGACGGTGGCAGTAGTAGTAGTAGTAGTAGTAGTAGTAGTAGTAGTAG